CCCCTCTCATCCTAATGATTAAGTCCAAACCAGTCAGGCAGGAGCCAGAATCCAGGAGGACTCAAAGTGTCCTTTTGTGTCTGTGAGAAATCCATATTGTTATTGATGTGGTTCTTGATGATGCCGTAGATGTTGTATGTTGAACCCGTGCTCCCTAAGACAACCTCCAAGCCATTGTGCTTTAAAGCAGGGTGTTCCCAACTCCTGGACCTGGCACTATAAATGTTGAAAGTGAAAGTATAACATGCATACACCATAATGATTACTCTATTATACTTGATTACTCTGTTTTAAAAAAGCGCTGATTATAATTGCCCTTCTCGATGACTTGACAATATGGTGGAAGTGAGTCTGTGCAAAGCAGAAGAAGGTCCAGATATGGTGTGAAAGCCTCAGTTATGTGGAAGCACTTTGCAGTAAAAGTTAAAAATGCTTTCATCTGTAAGTCGCGCAAAGCAGAACTTTAATATCATAACAGCATGACTGCAGTGCAGCTACATCTTAAAAGACTAAGAAAACTTTCTGGTTTGATGGACTCACCCAGTAATGGGAGGTTTGCCATAGTTATGTGTCCTTTAGCCTCTGGGAGTAGCTTAGCATCTTTCTCATTAATTTGACTTAAACTATTTTGCTTGATTTACTTTCTATGATTGCTGTATCTCAAAATAGTTGTTACTAAAACGGTTAGCCTTGTCACTTAACCTCATCATCTTACATAATACAGTAGCTTTTTTTATTGCCTTTTTATCTTTCTCTTTTCTTTTATTGCATTGAATATGAGCGGCACTCCTAGTTTTGTTGTGTATTTAATACAATGACAGTAAAGCTTCTATTCTGTTCTATTGAGGTTTTTGATTCGACAGTGTCTTACTGAGGTACAATGTGCATGTGATTGTCGGTAGAAGTTGGTGGTGTTTGCTGCAAGATGTCCCAACAGAAATAAAGCAGTGCTTTTTACTCAGTGTAGTGTCTATGGAAAGAAAAATATTTCTGATCATTGGAAGACAAATATGAATGAATGTTACACTTATATAGCACTTTTTAAGACGCCCCAGCTGCTCAGAGAACCAATGGGGAGCCGCTTAAACTGCCCACCACCCACCTAGATGACGTGAGAACAGCCATTCTCTGTCAGTACCCTCCCCAGTAGCTAAGGTGGGAAAGAGGCAGGAGAGAATTTACCAGTTAAATATAGGAGATGATTAGAGCCACAGTGGGCAGTTTAACCAGGACTTCGGGGCACCACCTCTAATCTTTCAAAGGACACACAGGGATCTTTTACGACCTCAGAACCTCCATTTTAACATCTTATCTGAAAGATGGCTCCATTTTACAGCACAATGTCCCCATCACTGTAGTGGGGTATTGGGAGCCACTCGATGGGCTGACCTGTTAGCTACACCAACACCTCTTCCAGCAGCAGCCCAGTTTTCCTAGTTGGTCTCCCATCCAAGTACTGGCCAGGCCCAAACCTGCTTAGCTCCAGATGGATTACCTGGTCTGAACTGCAGGTGGTATGGCTTATCCTAAACAGTTCTTTTTTGTTTTTCTCCTCCTCAATCATGTTTGTTAATTTTCTCTCAACTACACATTACAATCCATGAGTGAGTCCAACAGTCAGGATGAAAATTATTATGACTGGCTGAGAGAGCGCATGCAGGGTTCGTGCAAAAGCAGCAACTCTAAACTTTGAACTTTTTTTTAAACATATACAGGATAATATTGAAAAGGGATCACCATTAAAATTGCTAAACTTACTAAGTTTTGTTTCATATGACAGCAGAAATGTCTTATCGTAGCTTATTGATGGTCTCAACCTAGCTGACTATGGTGCTCCTTGCAATGTGACAGCTACATGTCTATGTACTGAGGGCACAGTGGTGCAGTGGGAAGTTTGTGGGTATGTGGGTTTACACCATTTCCTCCTGCTGCCTAAAATATGTTTATATACATCTATAATGATTATTCAGTTGTCAAATTAATCTGTGTTACTCGATTATTAATATAATTGATACTGACAGCCCTACATATTTGTACTGCAAAAAAAAAGGTAAATGTTAAAAATCAAAAGAAAATGGTTGTGAACGTGTTTATTCATAGTCTTTGGCACTTGTCAGTGCTGTGAATATTCTACAAAAAAGCGGTGCCTTTTGTTTTCAGGGTTCCCTGTCCACAGTCCCGTAAACATGGTTTGATTAATTGTCACTGATTAACTGCAGGGGACAGAGACTTATTTGGGTCATAGAATGTGGACAGGGCCCTATAGTGACTGATCTCTTAATCTGGCCATTATTGCCTGTGACGGGTCTAAACGGCGGGAGTTATGAGGACACACGGTACTGGATGTCATCGGCGGAGCAGGTAGCATGGTGAGCTCATTAGTTCCAACTGCACCTGCAGTGGCCTTTCCATTCATCCTGCTCCTTATGTCCATAGGCGCCCCGATCTATTCTCCTTCAGTTCTACACTCAGTGTATCTGTTGTCAAATTTTCATGAAGACAAACACATCAGCAGGTACTGTAGATGTTCTTTAGTCATATATCTGTATCCATATGATATCAAACTGTACTAAGACATCTAAATAAGGTATTGGAGCAAAAAAACAACAATAAATTGGCAGGAAATTACAGTAGTACTGTGGAATCTGATATCCCCCATCGGCTACAAACCATAGTAAATTTAGCTCAAGCACTTTTGATACGTCAACGTAACATAAATAAATGAATCACAATTCTTCTACACACTTTGGCTGTAAACATTATTTTTTTAATGTATGATTTGGCTGTAAACATTCTTTTTAATTCATTTTTTGATGTACGCATTACGCACTACGGGAATTAAAAGCGAAACGCAAACTTTAGTTCCAAGTCAAGCCGGGCCCAAACAGTGTATTAAATTCAAGGTGTCCTCCCTGTGAAGGAGGGGGGTCCATTTGTAGCACCCCAGAGATCTTTATCTGTGTTCTCCGCTGCCAAGATTCAAACAGAGTTTCCTTCTGTCATAGAGTTACTGGTTCTACCCAAAGGGCTGCTTTGTCTGAGGTGAGTTTGCTGGCCGTGCCATGGGTCACACGGAAAAGGCTGCACTTTAAATCATGCCTCCATCTACTCTGCCTCTGTAGCTCCTCAAGAAACATCAGCTGTAGCCACCCTCTCTAGCGACCCCTACAGGCGACTGAGCGTCATTGACTTCGTCAACATGTGCCAGTTCTGTCCGCAGGACGTGGAAAGTGTTCGGCTGGTTGCATAACATGCACAGGAATCCGTGACATGATCACGTAGCGATGTTGACAGCTCTGGGATCTGTTATCAATGATTAACTAAGGAAGGCTGAGGTCCAAAGGCCTTGAAGACTCATACTTTCCACTGAGAAGCTGCACAAAAAAGCCCTCGTCTGATGTGTCCAGTGTACAGTAGGTTGACCTTTTGATCTATGAATTGCTTGAATCCTCCGTCAGTGGGTTTGCAGACTTCTCTAAGACCGTACTGTTATCGGGTGAGTCTCGATCCTTTCCTTGGTGGGCATCCTTTGGTCAGTTATTGCTGCAGAAGCTATTAATGGTAACCTCTTTATGTATGATCCTGGCGGGGGTCGGGGAAGGGGGGAGCCTGGGTTCTGTTCCAGGTCGTGCAGAGCACCAAGCTTTTGTTTATGTTTTATCTATGTTTTGATAACTTAAGTCATTGTTCTGTATTAGATGTTTGTTAAATCACATTCGTAACAGTGAAGCTGCTGGATATGTTTAAGACTTTGCATTTGCATATTCACAAAAAATTTAGGTGACTGATAGAAGAACAGAAATTTCTAATAATAACTCCCAACTCATTTGTTTTTATTTTACTTTTGGGTATGTGCCTTGTTGTAAAATATTTCGTAGCTTATTTTTGAGAATATTTTGGGTGTTTAGTACTGATACTGTAATTTGAGTTGCATTCAGGAGTGGCTGAATCTGCCACCTTAATTTTTATCTGTTGCGTTGTATCTGTTATCTTATGTTATCTGTGGTTAAATACGTATAGAAACTCATCTTTAACTGAGGTTCATACGATAAAGGCTAGTCTGATTCCAGAAAGTCAAAGTTCAAAGTCAAAATTCATTCTCACATTGACTAAACAGGGGTTACGCAAGCATGCACAGAATTATAGTCTGTGACGTCTTTGAAAGCCACAGCCTTACTATTTTCATCATTCATATTTGGGTTTAAGTTTTGAAGAACTTACATTAGAGGTCTGTAAGAGTAGAAAAGAATTTGATGGTGAGTTTATGTCCAGGGCTGAGTTGAAGCTCAAAGCTCCCAGGGTCTGTGTTACTCGTGGTAAAATGGCAGTTTCTGTCACTGGATTTTTCAGACGTTACACACAAACATGATTTTAACAACCAACCAGAAAACAACACAGTGTGCAGGTTGTTGTTTGTTACTCTGTGCCGACGGGATTATCTCAGATTACTATTGGAATCATTATTTCACCTAATTACATATGCAGTATATATGTAGAATTGATACTATGCAATGTAGGTCCATAGTTCCAAGTAAATTGTAGCAATTCATTTATGCTAAGTTAACCACTGTGACGGATCCATCTATTTTTAAAGAGATGGTGTTTTTCAAAATGTCAAATGTATTTGTAAGTTGAATTTTTGGGTTATTGAAGTGTGAAAAGATTATACTTTTGGTCTGTATGAAAAGTATCAACATATTGTAAAATATAACTATATAAATGGATAACATGTCTAATTAATCTATTTCAGTCAAATTAAGCATGTTTCAGTAATTTGTGTTACTGTCTTAGTTACAGTTGAATTTTTTTCATGTTTAATAAAGTGTCTGTTGTGCCCACTGCCTAGGCTGAAGATGGGTGGATGGGTGGATGGATGGATGGGTGGATGGATGGATGGGTAGAATCTCTTTGATCTAAATGTGTCCCCAGTTTTGCTCCACGGTCCTTCTACACTCTGCCAGTATCACACTTCATGCTAATGTTCTCTGTTACTTTTCTAGCAGAAGGATGAAAGCCAGAGCCCCTCCTCCACCAGGCCCCCCCCAGCCTGCTCCCCGCAAAATTTTCTCCACCACCCGTAACGTCGTACCGGACGGGGGCGGACAGGCTGGGGACAAGAAGGAGAACATGGCTTATCCCATGGTGGACTTTCGCATCAGCCTCCCTGGAGGATTCCAGACTGATGGGACGACGGACGGCAGGTACCTGTCTGACATGGGTGACTCTAGGGGCGCACGGAATAACATCGCGATATAACCGTGATTATATGGCACATGTGCAATAATCACCAGGGCGTAAACATTTATATGGACGATGGCTTTTTGGTACTATATGGATGTTTATTTACGCCCACAATTTGTTAAGCTTAGTAGTACAACTAAAATATTAATGAGAGGAGTATTGTGATGCCCAAAGGTTAGTCATCTGTATAAATTCAGCATATCCTTATGTTTAATGAATTCGGTTAGTGGAGCACGCTAAACATGCTACTGTTTTAGTAAATCATAGAAGCAATAAGCACTGATGTGGCGGTGAAGAAAGGGACAGATCAGCAGCCCACAATATCTTTTGAAAGTGGAGATTGTGGATAAACAAGGTCAAAAGACTTTGGTGGTGTGGTGGTGCTTTTTACAGTTTAAAATCTGACACATTTATTAAACATAAAGATACGCTGAATCCATACAGATTACTAACAAATGTTTACGGCCGTCATCTGAAGCCCTGTTGCTCATATCGCGATGTGATATCCTGCAGATCTAGGTTTTATTTTTCCTCTATGTTTCTGAGCACAGCTGAGTTTCACAGATGTTGACCTGTACGGTCACTATCTGTGACCTGGAGCACAGCTTCAGCTGTCGAGGTTCCATTGCTCTCAGTGGATCTGAGAAGACGTCTGAAGAGCGACGGCAGTAGATGCTGTTTCCATTGCACCCCCGCCAATGTCCAGATTACGTTCACGTTAGTGGTGTGTTCGCTGACAGCTGGATATATGGCAGGGTGACTGCAGAGCGTACCATTAATATCACGATAATGACTGATTACACAGCTGCTGGTGTTTGCTCTTTATAAAACAGTGACATGTGCTGGGTGAAGGGTCTGCTGGTAGACCTTATAGCTATCAGAAGCTGTCCACATTCCCCCCGATTTACGAAACACATCTAGACACGTGGATGCGATAAGAAAAAGATACAGATAAACACATAACAATTCGATAAGCCTCAGTTCAGCAATGACCCGATAAGATCTCATCATGAAAAAGATATTACAGTAAAGTGATGCAGTAATAGTGATGAGGGAATAGGTTTGTGGCTGGCTTTTTGCTGATGTCCTTCTAAATTCGAGCCGCCAGAAAGCTCAGTGATAACCTTCTGTTCTTGACCAGACTGTCGCTTTGAGCTGTGTAACCTTTTCAGTAGTTCATATGCAGAAATACGAGTACATTTCGCACATAATTGGCCTGAAAAAAGGCATTATTAAAACAGCAGTGAGTTTATTCCTTTATGCAGAATGTAGGGGGAGCTGTGCCGTTTCCAGCTGTATAAAAAATAAATCAAGCTATAGATCTTCTCAAACTATAGATCTTCTCAAATTTTCTACTCATGCTCTGGCTACATTTTAACGGTGGTTATAGTGTGTGGAAACTGTTTGGTCTAGTTAGGAATTTGTGTTTCTAAGGAAAAAAAATCACCTTTTAAGAATTACCATGGGGAATCCAGTAAAGAAGATTTTTCTGCTTTTCTGTGGGTTTCCCTCATGGGAACCTGGTCAGAATTTCCTGTCCTTGTCAGATTTCCTTTGCGTTTAGATTGTTTTCTCTGATTAGACTCCGAAGGCCTTGGAGCCTGTCGTCAGCTGCTGATTTTACATGTTGACGCTGCAATCAGCTCGTTAAAAATCCTTTTGACGGCCTTCTTTGTTTAACTCAATGGATGACAGATGTAAACAAAACAGTCAGGCTGTAAGTCTATTTAAACTTCCACATTTGTATTTCTCTGTCGTCATGAGAACCCCTGCATCTCACCCGTGGAGAAGGCTTAATCCTTTCCGTGTATCCGGGGGGGGGGGGGGGGGGGGGGGCGGGGGGGGGGGGTGAGCTGGGTATAGTGTAGGCGAGGACTGGAAGCAGATTCTGACAGCCCTGTAGGTCCCCAATTACAACTGTATCACTACATCACGCCTCACTCCTGGTCGCCCTGAAGACAGAGAGTGTATTTCTGCAGTTGCACTCTCTTGTAATCTCTGTGAGGCATTTCGGGAAACAGCTCCACCATTAAATCCCCTGGATTTTTGTGGATCATTTTCCAAAGTATAACTCTCGATAATTTCAAATTATTGTGATAAAAATATAAACCTGAAGGTGCTGGCCTGGATTTGAAGGAGAACCTGTTTCTGTCAGCAAGAGATGTGCAGCAATCAGACATGCATTTTTCAGAAGGACAGTAACCCTGAGCTCAGGGCCAGCACGAGAACAGTGTGTCCTAAACACTCTCAGAAGACCTTAACATTCCTCCCCAACTAACAAGCTTTGGTACAGAGGACAAAAATTCAGAAAGATAAATGTGTGAAGCTGTATCACAAATGCGGTGGATCTGAGCGGGGGGAATCCTTCCCTTTGGAAGATAAGTGAGTACTTTCTGAAGGCAATATAAAATAATAAAATGATACATACAAATGCTGAATGCATGGCTTTAACCCTGGCGCTGAATCCTGCCCCTCTCAACGTTCTCCGTTTCTGCTTAGCTACACTGTGTCTCCTAGACACCATGCTTGAGTAAGTGGTTACACCATGGTGGCTGTGTGTAACCTTTTCCCCAAGGATCTCTGCCCGGAAGGTCATGGGTTCGAATCCCTTGGCCAGTAGAGTGATCCCAGTACCCTTATATCATCTTATGGCCCTTGAGCAAGGCCCTTAAACCCAACTTCTGCAGGGAGGCTGGATGCTGACTGGCCCTGTGCTCTAAGCCACAAAACCTCCTCTCACCGCTGTCTGTCATGGAGCATGAGATCCATGAATTTGCTGCTGAATTTGCCCCAGGTGATGAATAAATAGCTATTCTATATATTAGCTATATGTGTGTCCCATTGTCTCTCTCAGATGCAGAGGGTGATAAGGAACCAGAGTTTGAGAAAAAGCCACGGGACTCGGAAACATCTACTGCAGGGATTAGTACCGTCTCGTGTCGGTCTTTGTGTTTTACAGCGGTTTATGAAATACTAACTGGAATGCTAACAGTTTTTGATGCATCATTTCATTTTCTGTGGTTACGAGAATGTGGCAGTAGGGTTGCATCGTTGGGTGTTTCCCCACATGGGCGTAGAGACTAGGGGCGATTTACAGACTCCACCCCGTGCTTATAGGTGGCGGTAGGAGACTGCAGAAACACACACAAACTCGGGAGATCATGTAAGCTTCACACACAGAGCCTAGCCGAGGAGGCCAGGGTGCCGTCGCCACGCCAGCAGGCCCCAGCAGGTGCAGATGAGATGCCTTTTTCGTGAATAATACTGAGGAAAATCCAAGCTTCTTTACAAACACCTATAAATATCAAGCAGTCCACTAGGGGGTATTTCAACACACCAGCTGTTGCCTGGTGACTTGGGCACCATTCTGTAGGATGAATCTTTTGCAGGCTTCCTGGGCCCTTGTGTCGAATCTTCTGATTTCAGTTTGGCTTTGCTCTGATAAGTTCGGCCTCCTTAGGTTTCCTCCCGGACCGACGCTCGTCATTCGCCATTACTTCACTGGCTGTGTGTTCCTCAAATGCATCCATAGTTTATTGTAACTGAAACCTCGTGCCCATCAGTGGAAAATGCACAGCTTCGCACATAGCACCGTGACGTTTGTTCTGCAAGTGTGGTCCTCCCAGATTACCGGCTACGTCATTTTTACCCGCTCTATGTCTTACAGACCGTTGCAGATTTCATTGCCCCAAGATTAACACGCTTTGATTTTTCCAGAGGTGCAGCGTGTCACTGAGGTCAAACTGTTAGAATTTGGCTGTCATTTAGGATGTCCCACAGGATTATGTAACTGGGTAATCCGAGCGCTCTTCTGTGTTGGTTCGTCAGTCGCGGTAATTACAGGTCTTCCCATTGGAGCCGCTTCAGTAACCCTATACCCCCCCCCCCAACCACCCCCAGTCCCCGGCTCTCCGTCGCTAATGAGTGCTTGCCCTCCCACTTTCTCCCCAGCAAAGCACTTATGGACCTGCTGGTGGACCTGTGCGGCCGGTACCACCTGAACCCGGTCCACCACACCCTGGAGCTGCTGTCCCCCGCGGGTCAGCCTGTTCCCTTCAAGCCCAATGCACTGCTCGGCATGCTGGATGTGCGCTACGTCCTCATCAAAGAGAAGGTTCCGGAAGGCAGAGTGATCCGGAAGCCCCTGCCCCGAGTGCCGGAGGTGAGTTCTGGTCCCTGGAAGCAGCTGGCGCTCGATGACGGCGGCTTTCTGGTGACTCCGAAACCAGACTTTGGCTTTTCACATCTGCATCAGTTCGAGTCTCTCTGCAGATTTAAGATACATAGGCATTGAATTAGTGTCTATTAAAAATAAGCTGTAGATTATATTAGCGGTTTGTATTTTGTTGTTGAAGAACATGGGAAATTCTGCAAATTTTGTTTTAATTTTACATTTTGATACCTTAATTCAGGCTCGATAGCTGTTGTGGATGCAACATTAATTAATCTGTCCACATTAATCAGCTTCTGCATTGACTCGTGACACAACTGTCAAGTTACTTTCGGAATGATTTAACCTTTAGGAGCAATTTAGCGATTCAGTGACCAGCTGCGTCTTTTTAGAAAGAGCAACCGGAGACTGTTACTACTGTACCTCCCGTCGTTCAACAATCCAGAGATGGTGATCACTATCTCACCTTGTGATCCAGTTTTTTTAATTTTATGTGTAGTAAGTAGTACTGCTGTGTTGCGGAATATTCCGGAACAATGAGGCTGAGGGCTCTCTGCCACTGTGTTTCATTGCCTCGGTGCTGCTGCTGTGTGCATTACAGGCCTCTGTTTGTCTGCTCGGACGTCTCTTTTGTCCGGTCTTATCATCCATGCCTCTGAGATTTAAGCTCGTTAAGTTTGCCCTGTGCGGCGCCCCTCTGGTCACATGTAGACGGCTGCTGACCAGCCCTTTCTGATCTTTAACGCTGTGGGTGATGCGGCAGGGAGTGTCACCGACGAGCAAAGGCTCCCATGTTATGGTAGGTTTGTGTGGCACCTGGAGCCTGCAGCGTGAGAGCTGTCTCTCCTTCTCTCTCCTTCTCTGTCTCTCCTTCTCTGTCTCTCCTTCTCTGTCTCTCCCCCTCTCTGTCTCTCCTTCTCTGTCTCTCCCTCTACCTCTCTGTCTCTCCCTCTCTGTCTCTCCCTCTCTGTCTCTCCTTCTCTGTCTCTCCCTCTCTGTCTCTCCTTCTCTGTCTCTCCCCCTCTCTGTCTCTATTTCTCTGTCTCTCCCTCTCTGTCTCTCCCTCTCTCCCTTTCTGTCTCCTTCTCTCCCTTTCTGTCTCTCCCTCTTTACCTCTCTCCTCTATCTTTTTCGCTCTCTCTTCCTCTCTCTCTATCTCTTCCCTTCTCTCTCTCTCTCTCTCTCTCTCTCTGCCTCCCCCCACCAGGTTGTGGCCCGCTTCTCCGTTGCCGTGGTGTGAATTTTTCATGACACCGTTACCTTTAGTTACCATGCATTATTTCTGCCTCGTTCCCAGAGCTGATTTCCTTTCCCAGGTGCTCTCTGACCTGGCTGTGCTCCACTGCCGTATCATGCACAGCCTTCAAACAGAGTTCAGCCTTTCTCGTTACTGGATACATTTGCTTCAGAAGCCTTTTGTTGCTTTCCTTTCTGAATAGGAGTGATTTTTTTTTGCACATTTGTTAATTCATAATTTTGATTGGTCAGAGTGAAATGGAAAATTGCAGTTCTCAAATCTGAAGTGGAAGACGTTTGACAAGAGCACTCATCACGGATACACTCTGAGCTCGGTGTGCAGAGTGCTTGCAGTCACACGGGCGTGTTTGGGTGTTACGCTCCGTGTAACTGAACGCCCTGCCCCACGGTCACCTGAGCAGGCCAGCTGATCAGCCAGTAATGGCCGAAGGAAAAGGTTTAATCCCGAAAAAATTATCGCCAAAGTTTTGTTGTCGATTTGCATTTTCATTTCATTTTCATTTGTTGATTTGTGCATTTCATTTTCATTTGTTGATTTGTGCATTTTCATTTCATTTTCATTTGTTGATTTGTGCATTTTCGTTTCATCTTGTGTATGGGTGAAGGTGAATGAGAACTGAATCAGACTCACTGTTTCTTTTGTTAGAAAACTGTACGTCTAGTGGTCAACTTCCATAAGAACCAGAAGGCGGTGCTGCGGGTCAGTCCTCAGGTGCCACTCGGCAGCCTGGTGCCGGTCATCTGTGAAAAGTGTGACTTCGACCCCGACCATGTCATCCTGCTGAAGGATAACATCAGCAACCACGAGATGGACCTGGACAAGTCTCTGGCCGAGCTGGGCATCAGGGAGCTCTATGTGCTCGACCAGAAGCTGGGTAAATGCTCATTGTACTATTGTTCTACTGTTTCATGATCTAGTCTCTGCCGACTGCTCCGTTTGTTTGGGGGCGGCCAAGAGACACGTCTCTTTGGGAGGGGCGTGTGCCGGTGTTCCCCCCGCCATCTTTATGCAGGGCTCTGTTGGGGATTGAAAGGTGGAGAGCGATACCTTTCACCGGGTTAGCGTTAGCGCAGCCAACCATTCTTAATTACCAGTCGAAATACACGCAGATCGTGTTTTTGATCTATGCTGATTGGTCCTGGTGTCGGCTATCGCGGGCGTACTAAGGCGTAAGAAGGTTTTCGTTTTCATTCACACATTATAGTCAGACTTCAGTGTTTGGAGTCTCCTGTCAGATTGCACTCTTTTGTTCACTCCTGCCTTTTTTAAGGACCCTGAGCTGTAGCTGGATGTAAAATGCATGACAGTTAGCGAAGGGACCTTACCACTGACACAGAGGTGATTCTGCACGATGATTCTGCAACACGCTGAAGCTCTACCAAACCTATGTGATTGTTTCCAGTTCTTCCGTCCAAAATGTCTTCAGCACCTGTCCTGAACTACTCAGGTACCGTTGTGTAATGCTGCTTGATTGATTGCTTTGGCCTTTTCTGTGTTCCTCACTCGGTGCCCCCCCTCCCCCACACACTCCCAGCTTATTGATTTGCCCGTTTATAACAGTACTATAATTTACCTGTTTTACATCTTTCCCTCGTGATGCATTTCTTATTATATAACGGTTTAAACTGGCTTAGTTCATTTAATATACCTTGTTTACGCTGCACATAGTAGACATATGGCCTCTAGGTTGTTTCCGTTTTCAGATTGGTTTTGTTTGAGTGCTTTTAAATGAAGTAACTTTAACCTCACCTGGTCCAGTAAATAATGCCAGTTTTTTTGGTAATGCTATACAGATTTTTAATGTATTCAAAGCAAACAGCATTTCAGTAGTATTAAATACCATCCCTAAGAAGCCTTGGCATATGACTTTTTTTTTTATTTTCGATTTTTGTTTGCCTCTTTAAATCCACCCTACTGTCACCCTCAGTAGTAACGTAGTCATTGCCTTTGCAAAGGATTAACTTCTTGCTCTGTTTGGCGTGTAAGGAAAAACAATGCTTTGGTGCCATCTTCTGGTGGTATTTGGTACTGCCGGTGTTTTGTGAATGAGCAGCTAAAACCTTCGCTGGCACCTCACATTACATGCATGTGTGCTGTGTATCCCTTCCCTCCTATGTAACTCGCAGCCGTTTGCATGGTGTTGGCTGAACCGAGCAGCAGGTCGTCTCCCTCGTCTCTAACCGTTGGGCTTCTTGCAGGATCGATCCGCTCCGACAATCTCAGTGACGACAGCGAGGAGAAGAAAGGCCTCCTGGGGTTCCTCAAATTCAAACGGCGGAAATCAAAGGTAGGAGGCGCTATTGATGATCTGTATTTCACAATGACCTCTGATCGCGATCTATCAATGATGAGTGCACCTTAGAAAATTGAGGGACATGTGTTGTCAGAAGCAGCACTTAAAACAATGAAATAATTGTACAGAATCAACTAGGGATCAAAAGCCTTGAGGGACTTAATGTGACATTACTCTGCCGACCCTGGGATTCAAACCGCCAACCTACTGGTCACAGGCACAGTGTCCTAGCCCACTGAGCCACACACCACCCTGAGTTACAGATGCTGTAGAGTTTCCCATGTGACAGTAGAATCTCCTTTTTTTAATAGATCACTAATGAAACCATAACATGGGTAATAGGCTCATATTGATCTGAGGTGAATCGCTCGATCCCCTAAAAGCCTCATTCGTCTTTCCCGCTGATCCGCTGACGGCGGCTCTGCCTCGCCCCGGCCCCTCAGGTCCAGCCGTATTCATCTCCCTGCCCCGACGGCGGCTCCGAGCAGCTCTTTGAGGCATCGTCTTTAATCTCACTAGCGGGTTTGTGGGCTGGCATGGAAAGCTATTGTGCCCTCGAGATTTTTGCCGAGGGCCTTTTTCTGCAGATTTAGTGGATGCTCCGTTGATTTGGTGTGGCTCTCTTTTATAGCAAGCTGGGTTCAGTAGAGGTTTAGGCCACAAGAGATTAATTAATGGACGCCTGTGTTTTGTTGTGCTCTCATTGGCGGGATCCTTCAGTTGCCTGGCGCATGCCTGCCTTTCCCCTGGACAGATTACTGCCGGTATCCCTGTGGAAAACCGGCTCCTTCAAAGCCCACAACTTCAGCCTGTTCTTTTTTTAATATAGAACTTGACTATTGTACTTGTTTCCTATCTTGCAAAGCCTTATTTTGCAGTCTTCACTCCAGTTTTCTTGGGGGTGGTATAGAGCAGTGTTTCCAAACCCAGTCTTCAGGGAACCCCGGACAGTCCACGATTTTGGTCCCTCCCAGCTCCCAGCCAATCAGGAACACCCAATACTTGCTACAGGTCCCCTTTGAGCTGAGAGGAAGCAAAAACATGGACAGTCTGGGGTTCCCCGAGGACTGGGTTGGGAAACACTGGTATAGAGCGATAAAAAGTTGAAGAGTTCAATCAAATGAAGCATATCCCCGGTATCACTATAACTTCCATTGATCACAATTTGAAACGTTATGGAAGTCTCCAGTGTCTGAGCTGTTTCTGTTCATCACTCATATTTTATCTATTTCGCTAATATGGCATCTGATGTTTGGGCTTGTTTTCAATAAAAAATTTTCTTTTCCCTTTTCCAACTTGCGAAATTCTGGCACGTGAAAGCAGCGATCTGTCAGAAATAAAAAAAATTACTATAAGTATATAATATATTATAGAGGTGTAACGGTAGACAAAAATCACGGTTCGGTACGTACCTTGGTTTTGAAGTCACGGTTTGGTACGTTTTCGGTACAGCGGGGGTAGAAGAAACAAAACATAAATTGCTTCTATTTTCTTTATTAAACAGTGGTTTACTGAACACAGTACATAAAGTCTCTGTCGATACTGCTGCAACTTCCTAATAAAAACCTAAGATTTGCTTAAAAGTAAATCAAAATAAGTATTCTCTCATGTAAATAAAAATAAAATAAATATTAAGGCTGCATATTTAGAAAATTAACTGTATCTGATCTGTACTGTATTCACATTAACAGCTTCCAGCTTCACACTAAGACATACCCGCACATGCATAGTCATCCGCCCCTTTCTGAGTGTTGCTCGGGAAACACACCGACACATAAAGGTTCCACATTTGCTGCATTTGTTCGGTACATATGCGTACCAAACCAAAAGACCCGTGACGAACATTTTCGGTACAAATATACAGTATGTACCGTTACACTCTTAATATATAATATATATATATATATTTTTTAATGAAATAAAAAAAGGCGATCAGGGTGTAGTGCTGGGACAGATGAGGCATTTAACAATGTGGATGATCTGATTATGTCATGCTGTCAATCATGTCCTTACTGATATGCTTACTGACAGCTAATGATAATCCCGCCCACTTTAGAGCATGAAGCCTGATTGGTCCCTGCACTCCTGCCCAGGGCACGGTGCTGAGCATGAGGCATGGCCAAACTTTGACATAGTTGACCCTGCTTCTGCACCTCACAGCTGTGGTTGTACGCGATTATGGAGGCTCGGTACAACCAGAACCTTCCCCAAAGCCGTGACAGGACACAGCATTTTCTGATCTGTTTGCTGTGGCCCACAAACCATCTTAGTCAGTCTTCAGTTTAATCATGACTGCTCACATCATCAAGAGACCTGCTGTCCTGAGATGAGGTGTTTTAGGGCTGGAAAGAATTGTGTACATGAATCCTTATTTTAACATTACGGAATAAATCCTGGAACCAGAAGAGCTTGAAAAAGTTCCGATTTTGCTTGCAGATCATTATTTCCAGGTACTCCAGATTCCCCCCACAGTCCAAAAACATACTGTGTGCCCTGCGATGGGTTGGCGCCCCACCCCATCCACACACACACACACACACACACAAAATTTGGTCCCTGAAGACTGAGGCGAGAATCAGTGAGCTGTAATAAACACAGAGTGTAATCCTTGCAGGTCTTGCGTCTGCTAACCATCTTGTAAATTACCTGCACCCCCAGAGCAGAGTACAGCATCACAGTGTTTAAGCTGAAGTGTCAGGAAGGGGGTTTGATTAGTGCTTGTGGCCCATCAGTGTCCTGACGTCTGTGACACGTGGATCAGAGTGAAAAATGACTCAAGGTTCAGACAGTGTAGCCTGCTTTTGCTCTGGTGCAAATGTGTGCGTCACCTGCCTAAACAGAAGCTGAATCAGCAGATGTTTTGAGTCAACTAACTGAGGGGTAATAGGTGAATGTTTTAGCCAGAGGAGGAAAGAACGTGGCGGTAGAAGAACTTAATTTCTGGCGTTTCTGTATATCAGTGAGAAGTGCTTTGAATCCAGAGAATGTCCGTCATTCTGTTGAGTGGCATGTCGGCTGAATTTAGATTGCGGTCAACTTTTAAATGATACCCCTGTCCTTCTACATTTGCTCTGAAATCACTTTATTGGACATGGCAATTTATGGATGTTTCCTCGTCCTCTTCTTAAAAGCTTTAATCGACCCGCTGGGATTCGTTTGGGATACAAAGAGCCCGGGGTTGTGGTAATGGACTTAGTGGGTTGAAACCTAAGAGGATTGAAACCGCAGTTAAATGTGCTTTGTCATGTGTAAAATAGATTCACGTTATTTGTGTTTTGTTATTACAGGAGAGATAAGCAGAGGACAGAGGACTGTGTCCCCCCCCCCCCCAGTGCTCTTACCTACTCAGACAGGCTACTGGAAAGAGATCAGGGCTGGTTTATATCTGCTTTTCCCCTGAAATCGAGACGCTCCCCCAGGGGTGCTGACTCAGCTGAGTAATTACTGTGTATGAGTAGCTACACGGAAAAGGATGCTTTCCAATATTGTATTTTGAGAAGAGAGATGTGAGTTTGAAATTTAAATTTTAAAAACTCTTCTTTTGTTGGGAACACGATTCCTTCCGGGGAGGATTAAAATCAAGTTTAATTGGCAGTAGGGAGACAAAAATGAGGACGGTAGAGTTGCAGTTTGAGAGCCGTGCTTCATTTTTGCATAAACACGGCTCCTATGAGCAATTTCGTGCGTATTTACATGTGCGCTGAGCTTAGCGTTTGAGTGTTTCTGTGTCAGGGAAGCATCTGTTAATTCACACACTATCTGACATTTAAGGTCTGTGCCTGGTTAGGGTTAGGGCCTGTGCCTGGTTATGGTTAGGGTTAGGGTTAGGGTCTGTGCCTGGTTAGGGTTAGGGTTAGGGTCTGTGCCTGGTTATGGTTAGGGTGTGTGCCTGGTTAGGGTTAGGGTCTGTGCCTGGTTAGGGTTAGGGTTAGGGTCTGTGCCTGGTTAGGGTTAGTGTCTGTACCTGGTTAGGGTTAGTGTCTGTACCTGGTTAGGGTTAGTGTCTGTGCCTGGTTAGGGTCTGTGCCTGGTTAGGGTTAGGGTCTGTGCCTGGTTAGGGTTAGGGTTAGGATCTGTGCCTGGTTATGGTTAGGGTCTGTGCCTGGTTAGGGTTAGTGTCTGTGCCTGATTAGGGTCTGTGCCTGCTTTGACCTGTCATTATCTCAGTCCACTTGCCTTGTGTTCTGATCAGTTGCCATAGTGATGCAGGCCTTTTTCTGATACGCAGATCTGTCTGCGTTTACGTTTCTTCATCGTTTTTGGCATCTCAGTTGCATATTGTGTCTTTGCCAGTAAGTTTACTTTTTGTAAACGCGGCTTTCGACCTCGGTTCCTGTTACCTTGCAGTACTGCAGTATGCTGCGCCGCTAGTGTAAGGGGGCAGTTCCCCTCTTGGAGTTCCCCTCTGCTCTCCTCCTTGGCAGGGACTCTCATCTCTAACCACCTTCTGTTTGTTTCCAGAATGTCAGCCCTGCTCCGGCCCCTCCCTGCGTGGAGGTACGCCCCAACACGCTCGGCCAGTCTCAGTCCGTCATGAACGTCTCCCGGACGTCCCCGAAGACCGAGGTGAAGAAGAGGCGGGCCCCCCCGCCGCCCCAGGCCACGCCTACCCCATCCACACTGCAGTGCTTAGTGGAAACCTATGAGGTGATTACTGCCTTTTGTGTGACTCAGCAGTGCAAACAGCTAAAACCAAGTACACATTAAGTGTGAGTTCTTTCATAAGTGTATGAATTTCATATTTCATAAGTCTAAGTCGCTATATAAATGATCTATAGATGATTTTTCACAGTAATTATACATGTGCTTCCTCTGATTTGGTCTTCTGCCACCCGGAGGACAAACTCTGCAGTGTACCTAACTGGGGCTCCTGTCCAGCAGCTCCTTCCCTTCTACCAGGGTTAAAGGGGCAGTGCGTGCACTGTGTCGTGCAGGTTGTTTCAGGTCAGAGCTTTACGGAGAAGGGACGTCTCTGTAGGCATTCTCATGAGTTTTGCCCCCTAGTAACGCAGATGGAAAGGGACCATCATCTCAGAACCCACTTAGCGAGAGAGGGTCACAGCGTTTAATTAAGGGACAGTTCTAATGACATGGCCGCCATGGTCTGCTGTGATGAAATAATGATCAAGTCGCAAAACAGGTTGTTTAACTGCTGTCAGCATCATGCATTGTTCCCACGTGGAGCCTGTCCTTTCTGTAAGCGCATGGGGAGGGAACTGTTATCTTACTAACCATGAAATGATCTTGTTTATGCTGTGAGACACCATATTTTATAGACTTTGAAGTGCCACCAACCGTTTGTCCTTTGCTTGGTGCTTGAGGGACAGAGAGAGGGACAGAGAGAGAGAGAGAGACAGAGAGAGAGAGAGAGACAGAGAGAGGGACAGAGAGAGAGAGAGAGAGACAGAGAGAGGGCAGATACTCTGTCCGCTTTCTGGAAGGAAGCGAAGTGATTTGCCAGAGCTGCTAAGGATAAGGAGAAGAAAGTAATCAGCCTTATTACCGGCTTCATGACTGTAGCTGAAAGGTTGCTGGATATAAATCTTGTTCATGTAACTGATCTGACTTTTTAAGCTTTTTTTAATTTGGGCTTTTATTTTTTAAATTCTCTGAGTCCGCAGTAGGTTGCACATTCTGTGCGCAGCCTCCCATTACTTTGGGGAAACACGTATTTTAACTGTCTAGAGATTAGTCTCTCTTCATATTCATATGTTATATTTTCTTGTTTCCGAAGACAATCTTTGGCGAGGGCGTGATCCCTGGATATCCGTGGAAGGTGAGGGCTTTTCTCCTGGCCAGTGCAAACTCCAAAAATCCAAACATCATGCCCTCCAGTTATTAAATCCCCCACCCCCATCCATCAGTCAGAAAATATGCACAGGATGCATTGCAGGCCTATTTTTAGTCTGGGGTCACATGTAGGCTTTGCGTGTGCCTCGTTAGTGTAGTCCTATTTCATTCTTCCCCGGGGGAGTTTACAGAAAGCAGTACATTAAGGGGATTACACTGCTTCGGGCAGCGAGTATGCGTTCGGAGAAGCTGCTTCGTTTAACCCATGCGTCGCTTTCCAGAAACTTTGCTCTGATTGGCTGCCTGACGGACCCGGTTTGGTCCGGGCGTGGAGATGCTGAGCTGTGCTCCTTCGGATCAGGGTGTAATTTAGCCGTGTTGCTGCGCAGGACCATCATACATCAGCATATACCTACCCTGTGAACGTGTGCCGCCGTCTGACTGACTGATGTCAGGCTGTGTTTGAGAGAGACAAGACATTTCAAATATTTCATACAAATATAAAACAAACAAAACAGGAGATGAAGCTTAAGGAAAGAGAGAGAACTGCATTGTGTGCTGCTTATTGGTTACTGGGAAACAGAAAGTCATTGCTAAATTTGGTAGCTTGTATTCAGAGAGAAGAGAAGGCAGTTTGGGCACAAACTGTACTAACATAACCGAAAACAGGTCTATCTAACGTTTCTTTTGCGCTCTAGAAATGTATACTGGGGTCTTCATTAATTTAGTAGTAGTACTAATAATAATAGTACTAACCTTAGTTTCCTCGGGCTTAGCCTTTTTAAATGTGCTGTTCCGGCTTGAAGAATAATGAATGAAGTTGGTTTACCTGATAATTTATAATAAAAAATGTCTGTAGCTGTTCTCTCAGTTCAGTTAAATATATGCAAGGCCAGTTACTACTTTTCTTATCATGCACGTGATCTTTGTGTTCGTAGGCTTTACCAGTCCCTTGCCATAGTTTTCTGAAGCACTCAGACAGGAACAGTGGGCAAGATACAGTCACTTAGCATTTTCCTGCTGTCTTTGTCACAAGTAACCACTTAATCCCATCATATGTTTCTCGGTTGATGCGTGTCACTGTACTGTGGGGAAGCCCACACCTCCCCGCTGTCCTTCTGCTGTGAGCGGGGAACAGGACATGCCGTGCTTTGGCCGCTGTGCTCCTGTGGGGGGGGTGCTTTTTTTTCCACACTGGAGAAGTGTGGATTTAAGCCCAGAGATGGGACACAGTGTTCCCCTTAGCGAGGGTCTCTGCCTGTTCCTGCGATGGATGGATAGATGGATGGAGAAAGGAAGGATGGATGGATGGAATGAGTGCCTTGGATCTATTACTAAGTATTTAGAGAGGGACAGTTGAATTGCAGCCCAGTATCTTGCTTAAGAGTACTGAAACAGGACTCATCTCCATGAGGCCTCACACTGCTTCAAATCTAAGTAATGAATTCTCTGAGTACTGAGTACATAGAAGCTGATGGTGGTTTGAGTAGCATGCATTGGTTTGTTCCCTGCATGTTTCTGACTGCCTGTGTGTTATTGCAGCCCATCCATCCCTATTGAATGCAATAACCTCAGCTCCTGCGGCCATTGAGAATGTGCCGGAACTTCCGGAGGCATGGCGTCATCCTGTCTTGGGAAAAACAGGGCCGCCACGCATCTGTACTGGGCAGTGGGGGTGGGGGGCGCAGAGAGGGGGGGGAGGGGGGGTCACATGTCTGTGATAAAAAAATGCAGAAACACCTGAACAAATAACTCGACGAGAATGTTTATCCGTTCCTTCAAAGAAAGTAACGCAAAACACTACCTCAGCTGTGCTGTATGACGAAGTGAGAATGTTTGAGTTTCAGTCGTTGTATTTTGCAAGATTAAAGGCCTGAAGAGCCTTTTTCATGCTTCTCCATGCTTGCATCGGATAAAAGAACCAAATGTTTATGTATTTTCCCACATGGTTAAAATATTTTTGTATAGCGGACATGCTGGTGCCAGATTACAGATGGCGTGATGTTAGCAAAGATATTATTGATGTTAATCGCATGATCTCCAGGTTACGTTATATCCCTCAGGAAGCCGTTACTAGTGTATAAAATGTGGGGTCTCAAAGCATAAACAGGATCATTTCATTGTTAGTGAGATAAGCTCAGTTCATCCGTCCATTTCCTGTAGCTGCTTGTCCATTCAGCTCTGTGGGGCAGGGCGGGGCACATCCTGGATGGTAACAGGTAGGAAGCTCATACCTTCATTCCTACGGCAGGTAGATGAACATGTGGGGGCTAATCAGAGATCACGGGTCCTAGGACTTTCCGCTTCCGTCCCTTTAATGGTGTATTTCATCTTAGTTGCAACTAGCTAACGTGGCTGTTGATGTGGATTGATAAATCAGCCATCGGACCTGGATGGGCAATCTTCTCAGGCAATTCCTCCCCAAGAATATGCAGAGGTTGAGCTGCAGGGCCTCTTGACAGTAAGGTTGCACCTGAATACAAATGCAGTATTAAGAAATGCACAAAACCAAAACAGAGTCAGGGTGGATCAAAAGGGAGCGGGTGAGGCACACGCTGGGGCATGGAATGCAAATGAAGGAACTAACACAAGAAAGGGAAGCACTTATAAGCAGGGCTAACGAGGGATCAAACAAGGGGCAGCTGGAGCGAATCACACAAGGGCAGGAACGAGAGGTAGGACAAATGATTAGCAGGCGTGGCTCATTAAGGCCACAGTAGGATCAGCTTCTGAGTAGCTTTCATGGAGGGGGAGGGGCTGTCAGTGTCACGTGCAGATTTCTGTCAAACCGCTATACAAACCCAAACCTCTAAACCTGTACGTCACTCATCGTTTTTAGCTGTATGTGTTAATTCCTTCCATTTAAAAAGCCAAAATATTGAAGGACACAGACGTTTACCTTGTATTGCTGTTATTTAATTATTGTTGCACAGTATTAATTCATGTTTCCCTGGCAAAATGCAATAACAGTAACATCAACAAACGCAAATGCCACATCATTGGAATTTAAGATTATTCCCTTCAACTGAAGGGTATTTTTCTATATATCTTTTCTATGAATAGTTTCTATTTCCAATGCAAAACAGAAAATTTCAATTTATAAAAGTTTTTCTAAGTTGCTGATTATTCAATGTTCACCAGTTACGGGCCAGATCAACCACAGTCAAACATCAGGAACTTTCTCAGCCTATAACTGTATGTTTCACTAAGCTCTGACTTTTACTGCAAAGTGATTTCAGTATCAACCTTAAAGTCAAACCTCTCAAACCAGCTGGGTTTGTTTCACGTCTCTTTCGGTCATATATCGTTTAAATGCACTTAGTAGCACTTAATTTTACTAGACGGCCTATTCTTGATGTGTTAAGTGATTTTGAGGTTTTACTGGTTCACAACTGGTTTTTATCTGGATTCTGTGGGGTCCCACATCCTTGGACAGTGTTATTTTCTGAGGTCACACCTTGGCCAGTAACTGCTTTCTGCTGGAGTGAGTCTGCAAAGATTAAAGAAAGAATTTTAACCAAATGCAGAGTGACATTAAATATGAGAACAGTCTTTCCTAGATCCAGTGACACTGTTTGCTGGAGACCCTGTGGATTAACCACGTTTTCCTCAGGACTGGACACTAGAGTGTGTATAGCCAGAACACTGGTATGTTGGACCATCTGTGTAAATGTCACGGGCCCTTGTATGTCTGTTATATTCTGTCCCCTGTCTTGTAAGCCTGTCCCGTATTTTAATATCTGTTTGCGCATTTTGTCCACTGAGCTGAATTCAGCAACAACCTGAGTTCAGTCACTGCAGGAATGCGCATCATTTCATCTGAAATCGGCACCGTGCCTGTGTGTGGTCTGAACACTCAGTCACTGTTCCCGTAAGCGCTCCCATTGTGCGGCTGCCGGGCCACACTGCACAGGCTGGTAATTAAATAACTTGGACTTTGGTTTGAGGCTGATTAAAAATCCAGCCGAAAGCCAAGATTCCTTTGGGATTTGGGAAATTAAAAAGCCCAGTGTTTAATTAATGATAGTTGGACAGTGAAAGCTCGTTCCGATTGGCCGGGGGCCGCGGGAGGGGCGGGGCGACAGGAAGCTCGTGCGGCCTGCCCTCTCAAAGGAAGCATCAAGCCAGAAAAATTATTCGCAAATACTGTTATTTCCACGCATAATAGCGAGGGAGAACAAACAGAGTGTGCTTTGTGTGTTGCATTTGTTAAAATTTGCTTTTGAAAGGGCTCTAATTTTGATTTTTTTTTTCCTAATTACGTAAGACCTTTGATTAACTAACCTTTAAAAAGGATTTATTATTATTCAGTTTTTCACCAAGGTTAATTATTTTATTTTAACTTTAAGTCTGTTTTATTACATTTTATTAACGACCCGAACGTCTGAAGCAGGCACACCAGTGTAGGGATGTATTATATATTTTAGGATATATTTTAACCAAACACAAATCCAGTTGTTAAAATGTTTATTGGGACCTCTTATTGTTTGTTTGATCAGATTTTGTAAAGAAGTGATATGCACACTTGTATGGGTCCCGCATACCTTGTTATGATACTCGGATTTCCAGATGGACGCAGATCTGTTGTTTAGGGTGTCAGGGCAGGGATGGGGGGGCAACTGTAATATAGAGGCTGGCTCACATTTGTGATTTGAATATCTAAGTGTTGTACCTTTTTTTAATGAAGGATTTCCCCCTTTTATGCAGCCTGTTCTGGAAACAGTTTCTGGAGCTGCGCCAACACCTTTCCACACGTCATCCTGTCTCCTGTTTGCTCTTTAAAGCAGTCTGACCTGTCAGATACTCTTCGTCTGTAATCCTGACTGAGAGAAGCCATATGAAAGTGATGAAATGTCCTCTTTCTTACAGAGACAGCTTGCAGTTTGACATTTCTTTCACCGACTTCAGCTATTCTCTTCACATCAAATCCAAATCCACATGTAGTTTAAACCCAGACAAACACTTTGTTACATAAAAACTGATATGCAAGCAATCACATTCAGGAATATAAACTTCAACTTCACTATACAAGCAGGTTTAAATCACGTAGGGTGGGGGTGGGAGGCGGGCCAGATGCCACAGATCATCATGTCCGGCCCAGTTCCCGTATTCCAGTGAAAACCAACAAAGCCACATCCTCTGCCCCTTCATTCTTACTGGGCATGATGACACAAACCACACTTTCCTGAGAAGCATGGGAGCAGCAAAACCACATTAAAATGAGTCTGTTTTCTGTACACTGTGTCTCTGTCGATGTTTCCAGCAGCCTGCTTAAACCTGCAAGTTTGATTGAGCCTGTAAACGATGTCACTCTATGAAACGTGATGTCATACTCCAAGAACATACCCTGTTAGCTTTTCAGGTCAAGTAAGAATGAATGTACAATGTGCAGCTTTTTTTAAGTTGTACTTATTTATCAGACGTTAAGTTGCTCGATTATATACAGTAGACTGAAGCTTTCATACTTTTATGCGTTTGCTTTTATAGGAGGTTGGTTTCGCTTGTCTAATGGCTACCAGATTGCTGCAAGTGCAAAGACAGGGATGATTGCCGGTTTTTGACAGTGTAATCCTGGGAAGGTCTCCCATGCAGTTTGGTATTGCTGGTCTGTTTCTTGTCTGTCCGTGTTACATGAGGATATTAATATGAAATTGGTCCAGCCTTTTTTGCTGTAATATCTTGTCCTTTTCTGGGAAGGCTTTTCTATTAGATGTTGGCAGAGGTGGCAATTTCAGGTCCAGAAAGTAAAAATCCAGACCAAGATTTTTTTTCAACCAACCAGTTGAGTACTCTGTGACTATGACTCTTTATGCTCAACTGGTTGGTTGAAAGTAAATCATGGTCTCGATTTTTACTGTACTTTCTGGACCTGAAATTGCCACCTCTGGATGTTGGAACACTGCTGGTGGGATTTGCTGCCATTCAGGTTGGGTATTGATGTTGGGTGATCAGCTCCCTTTCTGTGAGCTTGCGTGGCTGCCATCTCGCAGCTGAACTTGCTCCTAGATGCTTCCACATCAGTCATTTCACTTGCGGTTGACCAGGGCAGCTCTAGCAAGACAGAAATTTGGGGAACTGACTTGTTGGCAAGATGGCATCCTATGAAGATGCCAAGTGAAAGTCACTAATCTCTTCTGTACAACTACCCATACAGTTACTAATGTTGCATGAGATTGCATGACTGTGTGCTTAATTATATACCTGTTTCAGCAATGGCTGTGACTTAATTTGGCAATTCCACTGATTAATTGGGGTTTCTACATACTTCTGGCCAAATGCTTCATAACATCCTGCTGCAGAGTCTAACCCTTAAGGTGACTCTCTAATTATGGGGACTTCGCTCTTTGTGCAGCTGTATTACAGTCACAACATGCCAAGCCAATGTAATAATTTCTGGTGCTCGGTTGCTTTGGGTTATAGGCTATGAGGTTAAGTGGAAATTGGATTCTGGGCTTTTGTAAAGGAGTCTGGAGATGTACACTTAGAACTGCAGGAAAGAGGAAGAGGGGAGAGTGGTCACAGGGTCACTACCGCAAGGGGTTTCTAATTTCCTAATGGCAGGTGCAGTGGTGCATAGAAGCATGGCTTGCTGTGTTGGTACAGGGTACTTGTATGTAGCAGATACGTTTTCATGATTATCATTACTTGTGACTGTTAATCTGAGTTTTAAGGTGTTAGAGGCCGTACATATTTCAGCTCTGGTATCTGTGCAGCTTTGTTTATACAGCTGGCAATATCAAAAGCACAGAAAAATGCTTTCTCTTTTGATTTTGTGTTTTGCGATTTTTTTATATATTTTTTGAAAGTTCTAGAAGAGGGAACATTTAAGAAACTGATGGTTATGCTCAGAAAATGCAGGTAATGGTTTCTGTACCTTTAAAAAAAATGCATGGACACTGTATCCCAGTATTGAGACTGCTGGGCCGACAGACCTGGGTTTCCTGAGGTGTTTAACTAAAGCCTGGCTCACACACACACACACACACACACACACACACACATACACACACGCATACACACGCACACACACACGCACTGACACACATGCACATGCGCGCGTGCAGTAACTCTCAGCAAACACTCCCTCTGAGCCACTCCTGCTGCATGCCTGAATATTTCTGGACCTGCTCAGGCAAGTCGGGCCTAGAAGTTTGAGAAGAAGAAGAAGAGAAGGTCAACAAGCTGGTCATTATGGAGCGAAGGCAGGAATGCAGCTCCCAGCTTGAGCAGCTCTGGGATGCATACAGGCTGGCAGAGAGGGGGCCTGGCAGAGAGAGGGCCTGGCAGAGAGAGGGCCTGGCAGAGAGAGGGCCTGGCAGAGCGGGCCAGGCAGAGGAGGCCTGGCAGAGCGGGCCGGGCAGAGGAGGCCTGGCACAGAGGGCCTGTTAGAGGGGGCACTTGAGCAAGACCTTTAACCCCCAGTTCTCTCCCTCTCTATTTCTCTCTCTCTCTGTGTGTCTCTCTCTCTCTCACAGGTGCACTCCAGCTCCCCGAACAGCAGCCAACAGAAAAAGAGGAAGGCCCCGGCGCCCCCCCCGACCCCGGGCCCCCAGGCTGAGGACTCCACCAGCCACAGCATCCTGTGCAGCAGCAGTGGGGGCGACGGCAGCACTGGAAGCAGCACCAGCATCGGTAGCAGCCTGGGGGCAGCAGATTTGGCCCCCTGTGGCCAGGAGGAGGAGCCTGATGTGGTGCTCGATGCCACACCTGAGGCGACAGAGCCAGGCCTTATCGAGAGGCCGGAGGAGCCAGAGAACATCCGGCACAGCGCCACAAGTAAGCGATTATGTCACCTGCAGCCAATGAGATGCCCTGTTTTTTGTGTCACAGAATCTTTACAGCCAATGAGATGCCCCGCTTTTGTTTTCCTTTCCTTCTCATGTGTGAGCATAACCTGTCTGTCCTAAGCAGGCCTGCCTTCATAAAGCGGCACTGTGCCCTGCCAATCCTGAAGGAGATGCTGTTATTTCCAAATAAGCTTCACATGAGCTGAACAAAAAGCTGATTTTTAATGTCTGAGAGAGACGTCTCAGATGGACGTTAGCTGGGAGCGCAGCTAATGTTTTAGTACTGAATATACTGGTATTGCTGTTTTTTCTGGTAAATAGTATCAATTACATGAAGTTGTATGTTTAATTTAATGAAATGTCATCTTATCTTAACATGTTTTTAACACTTAAAGTGTCGTTTATTCCACGTGAATCACCTAGTGTAACAGAAGAGTCATCACCTTCCATTTTCAATGGACCCCCTCCATCTTAGCCTCCTTATCTCTGTTAATGGAGAAGCTGGAGCCCCCAGTCTCTAACCTTGAACCCCTCCCCC